TGATATATGTTATAAAGAAACAAAAAAAATATTAATTTATTAACCAGTTTACACTTTGCTATAAGTAATTTCTGAGCAATTTTCCTCTTATCTATTGTTAAATTTGTATGAGTTTCTTCTTTTTTTTTTGGAAGGGGGGGTGGATGGGGGATGTGGTGGGGTGGGGTGGTTGGTTCCATTTAAAATCACATATTCGAGTGTTTAACTTGAGATTTAGAGTATGTTTAGTGTATTTAGATATTCGATGTCAAATTACGATTCATCAATATTTAGATTATACAAATAAATAAACACTTATATATGTACATTGTATATAATGGTTAATATGACCTTAGATTTACAGCGCAATTCCATACAGAGATCCTCCCCTGTTCTCTTGCTTTCAATATATTTGGTGAGTACTTTTTCGTTCTCCTCTGAGTCTATGACGACCAAGTGAGCTCCCTGTTGGTGACAGAAGTCACTGGAATTCAACATGGACGTCGGTTTTTTGTGGAAAGAGAAACACCAACCACTCACATTGACAAATCCTGGGGAGCATCTCAAAACCTCTGATCCGGAAATCCCAGAGGAACATTTCAAAGGTTCCGAATTAATGGCAATCAAAACTGTCAACTGATATAAATAATATACTGAAAGGAAAAAGAAACGCACAAGAACATGATATGGGAAAATTTTCTGACTATGTGACCGAAAATTATGAAAATTGGTCAGTTGTTTATTTTGGTTACTTTGCACTAAAATCACTTGTCAAAACTACTCAACCATGAAATGAATGGCATCACGTAGGGGAAAAGATAAATAGTCAAAAACACGTGCATGTTAATGATGATAATTTTGTAATAAAATTTTGTAGTACCATACTATGCATTAGAATACTAGACATTGTTTTTGCATATTTGCAGTCAGTATAAATTTCTTGCAATCGCGGTTTGGCTGGCGGAATCTACTGTGGGTTTAGTAAATGAATTCAATATTGCACAAGTGAAAAAAAAGGCAAAAACATGCTGATGTACAAATTGTTTTCAACTTTTCAACCAAATAAAAGTGTTTTTTTGGTTATCAGAGAGTGAACTTAAAATGTTTCCAACCAACCATGACGGTGACGTTGGCGCGTACCAGCGTCACAACAAGATAGGGCTTTTCATCACGCCATTATTTCAAGGCATTTCACCGAAACTGATATTTATACAGCAGACAAACATACTCACTTTTTTCACTCTAAACTGACAGAAACTCTCCGCTCTAATTTGGGCGGCGAGCTTGGCCAGCTTACGTCAATTTTACTATCAAACGCACACGTACGCGTCGTTTGCGTAATGATTTTTAGCATGTTTACACTGGAAAAATGTAGATAATATTTGTCAATTCTTTTTTACAAACATTCACAAGTACCAAACCTGCTGGGTTCTGTATATTCTATCCTAAATCGAAAATTCGCGGGATTCGATTGAGCGGGGGGATTTGTTGACTTTGGAATAATACAGCTAATTCAGATAAAGAACCGTCGGAAGGGTTGACTAATAATGCTATGAAAAAATAAATGCTCTGGTGAACTCAATGCACAGGAAAATCAAGTTTGTTACTGATGCGAAAGGGAGATTATGAGAATTTTTAGTTTTATTTTTGGGGAGTGTCACCATATTGAAAGTATCTCAGAACTATCACTCAAAATCGCACAAAATTTTGGTAACTTGTTGATTAAAGATAAATTAAAATGTATGATAAAAATGCTGAAAAACATATTTGAAATAATTGTTTTAATTTAACTCAAAAGTTTAATATGCTTTTCTTAATCCTTTCAGTATAGAAGGATATATTCGTCATCTAACATATTATACTTAAATCTTTAAGATGTTCCTACTCTTACAATTTCATGTTTTCAAATTAAATAAAGTTTCATGTACTTCAATTCACATAAACAAGTGACTGAAATATGCTAAAATGTCAATGATAACGGTTAAGGAGTGAAGTTCCATTTATATAATGCACTACATGTATATCGAAGATATACCTTACGGTTGAAAAAATGTTATATAGTAAAACATGGGTTAAAATAAGATTCATTCCTTATATTTTTATATCGGTGTTTACGATAAGACAAGGATAAGACCAAAAACGGCTTAAAACGGAGCATATTTTAAAAGACACGTCAAGAGGAGTAATATCGTCATATTTCCTTCAGAAAAAAGATCTATTACCAATTTTCAAATAATTTAAAAGTAAATAACCTCTCCCCTTTTTTGTTTTAACCTTTCCATTATTACAAAGGTGATTTTTAATATGTTTTACCTGTAACAGTCCAACTCAACAGGACTGTTGCTACAATCGGAAGGCCTCTTGATACTAGTTTGAAATGAATACATTGGTTATTTCTTTAACCGTAAATAAATAATCAAATCCAGGAAACAATTTCAGCAACTCTCTTTGAAAGTAGAAATAACAACAGAGTCATTTTTGTGTAAACATATTAATTTGTCAATGTGTCATATAGAGAGGAAAAGTAAAGGTTTTATTCTAGTTTTGACTTTTTTTAATTTATAGGCATATATGTATTTTTGAGTTCACAAATTGTGCGTACGAATTCTTTTGACTGAAGTTTATTTTAGATATCCGATTTGAATTACTGATAGTTTTACTGTAATCAAAACAGCAAATTATCTTAAAAATAATGTTATGAAGAACTCTTGAGGTAATACCTGACGAGATAAATCATGAAGAGTTATTCTTCTTGTCTCATAAAAGCCTTTTACCTTTTGTGACATGAAATTAATTTTTTTTTTTAATTTAAAATATATTTATTCAATAATGAAATGGATCGAACAGCAGGCATAAATGCCTATGATCGTTCTCTCCACATGAAATTAGACACAAGTAACATCTTTTTAAAAAGCTTGCCAGTCTACATCAATCAATATCTGCGCTAGAAGGAATACACATTTGGAGCAATAGCTCTATGGGTTTAAAATATGTACTAACTATCTATTTTATAAACCTTGTATAAATGAAAATCTAATTGTATTTAACTTGTAGAAAAAATCATTTCTACACTGCATACTAAATAGTTGTTATTCTCTTGGTGTTTTCATCAGGTGGAGCATTCTGCCCGTGGATCTAAATTGATTTCAAGTTGCATTGCAACACCTATTAGAAAATCTGTTATCAAATCATGAATTATAAACATTTTAAACGATAGATATAATTTGATACACATTTTGCTAGATTGTATTTTCTCCACTGAGGTAAACAGTTGTAATGTGTGTTCATCAATATTTTTGAGTTAAATAAAAAAAGTGACATCTGGGAAAGATTTCTTCATTATTTGCACAAAAATGAAATGCTTATTAGAATTTTAGTACATATTTAACCTTTTAAAACCAAAAATGCTAATCATAATGCTCGGGGGTCATCAGAATGATGCGATATTGAACACGTGCAGCACAGGCGTTAATTTGAATACTGATACTTAAAAATATGAGGAAATGTTTTAGATATATAATAAAGGAGTTATTGAACTTATATTGGTGAGTATTAGCATAAACTGGCTGTTCAAATGCAGAGCTTGAATACATATATGGTATGTATTGCTGTGGTTATTTACTTTGATTTTTGTAGGACCTGTTGTAAGTTGTAAAGATACAGATGTTTATTTATTTATTGGATTATAAAACCCGCTGAACTTTTAACACTGTGTTGTCGTGTTTTAAATAGATTAAATATCTTTTATGAAGTGAACCCTTGTTTTCACTAACATGAATAAGTTCACAAAGACATGACGATATTCAGTAGACAGCATCATTGTTATTTAGTTGATGCAAAAGTTAAAATTTGAACCAAATTATATGAAGAGTTATCTTCCTTGTCTAATAGAAGCTGTTTGTGACACACGAGGGTATGTTAAGGCAGCACATGGATCAGAATTCGGCGAATTAACACTTTTTTATAACATGTAACACTAATAAATCGGAAAAGTCATGGATAAATCTTTTGCTATCATTATGCATTCTATAGACGTCAATGAGACATATACTACAAGAGGCACTTCACCACGACGTCACCACGTGACGTCTATAATTAGAAAAAAATGCCTTAATGAAAAAGTGACAAGTTCAACACTACCCCAGGGACAATTAATTTCAATTTGTAGTCATAGTTATGTAAAAACACCTCTGTATTATGAAAAGTGCTGCTAGAATCCTACTGTCCTATCACAGAAATAATTATTCAACACTTTCGGAGGAAACCTTCCGAAAATGTTTACATTTTCTTCATAACATCGAAAAAAATGCATCAATGCCCATAAATCATATTTATAAAAAATTATAAAATATATTTCTTGTGTTTGTTTACATGAATTACGTTTCCATTTCACTCTGCTACTGCATGATCGACAGTTATGACGTCACGGGTTTGGTATTTAACCCCTGTCATAAATACAGAGACCCAGAGAAGACAAAATTCCGTTTATATTATGTCTTTGCATATTTTGATCCAAGATACGACCTCAAATCAATCTTAGATATCGATTTAAAGAAATTGTTATCTCTAAAACTTCGCGTCATATAGCTTACTATGACGTCATATCATACAGGCAAGTAGAATTTTTGGTTGTAACCTTAACATACCTGCGCAATGGAAACCGTTTATTTTTTAAATCATATAAGCGTGAATATCATTAGGAAAATAAGTAACACAAACATATATACTAGCGGAAAAAAGAAACTGTGCATTATAATATTTAGTAAAAAATTTATATATTTATTGTTTATATTAATACAATGTAAACAACCGATAAAGGTTATGTTTTTTAACAATATCGGATAGTACCCGACTCAGTTGCACGGACTTTTCATGGTAAGTGAGCACGTTTTGTTTATTGACGTGTTCGTACGCAGGGGTTTTACTGGCCAAAATTGTTTTGAGAAAAAACTGTATAACGTTTATTTAGACTCTATTCGTTAAGGAAAGCACTTTAGTTTGACCAAATTTACTATTCTGTCATGCCACGACTCAGCGAAAACCAACGTAATATTGCTGTTGGAATGCTTCAAGCAGGAATGGCACAAAATATTGTAGCAGGACACTTTGGAGTTCACCGGAACACCATCCAGTCATTATGGAGACGTTTTCATCAATCTGGTAATACTCGGGATCGACCACGTTCTGAGCGTCCTCGCGTGACGTCGCGTCGACAGGACAACCACATTAGACTCGTGCACCTGAGAAATCGTTTCCAGACTGCAAGTTTGACTGCTCGAAGCATTCCTGGACTTCGACCAATCAGTCCAAGAACTGTGCGAAATCGTCTGCGCGAGCGCAACATCAGACCAAGACGTCCAGCTGTGCGCCCAATACTGCTACAATGTCATCGTACAGCTAGGCTAGCGTGGTGCAGACGACATCTACGATTCAGAATACAAGATTGGGCCAATATTCTGTTTACTGATGAATCCAGATTTCATTTGGACAGCAGTGACGGCCGTTGTAGAGTGTATCGTTGCATTGGGGAGCGGTAGCAGGACGCTTGTGTTGTGCAACAACGACAATTCGGTGGAGGTAGCATTATGGTGCGGGGTGGAATCACAGCACGTGGAAAGGACGCCTCTACAAATTGTCAATGGAAATCTCACCGGCGTACACTATACAGATGAAATTATTCAGCAACATGTGATACCCTTCATTCAGAGACAACAAAATCACATCACTCTTCAGCAAGACAACGCAAGGCCACATGTTGCATGTGTAGTCAGGGATGTTTTTGTTCAACAGAATGTCGATGTCTTGCCTTGGCCAGCTGTTTCTCCCGATTTATTGCCTATCGAGCACGTTTGGGATGAAATGGAACGACGTCTAAGCCGTTTGCCAAATCAGCCAATGACGTTGGCTGATTTAGGCCAGGCCTTAACCAACATCTGGAACAACATCCCTCAAGCATATCTGAACACTTTAGTTGCATCAATGAGGCGCCGGTATCAAGCATGTGTGAATGCAAATAGTGGTCACACGCGTTATTAACTTTGTTAATTCAAGTTTGAATGCCAGTGTCTTTCCAGTGTGATCAAATTGACGTTAGTTGACGTTAACATTTATGGATTAGGTAATGTTGTAACGAATACATTTGTTATCAGAATTACAAAAATAAAATTTGTTCATTGTTATTTTTTGCATTTCTTTTCATAATAAATATTATGCACAGTTTCTTTTTTCCGTTAGTATACAAACTTGATTTTTTTTCTAAATACCTATCGATGAAAGAGGTTTTTCTATAGCATGGACATATAAGAATACTAGTATATTATAAATGACATTGTGTAAGTTTTGATAATGAAACTGATTGAAACAAATTTTATACATGTAAGACAAACCATGCTACATTCGACTAAATGAGAGAGATAGTATTCAATCTCAAAGTCCGTAAAGCAATACAAAATAGGAGCAGAGTGAACACGGACCTCCGAAACTCAGAGATGGTC